GTCTCAGTTTCGGATGTGAATTCTTGGAATGAACATATTTGCTCTTTTACTTTTAAGGAATCAAGCATGAAGTTTAACTAGTAAAGAAAGCAAACGCTCTTATAGTGCATTCTGGCAGAAGTAATATCCTGGTGTGAATACTGTCCCACTTTGCAGATCTGTTTATCAGTACTGTAAAAACATAATGAGAATTTTGCCTGAGTAAGGACTGCAGGGTTTGGGCCAAGATTTTTAACAACAACAACAAAAATCCCTTATGTGTTTATATTAATTCCACATTTGGCAAAAACGATCTCTCGACCTCCTGCAGACTTATTTAGTTGGTTGTAAGATTTGATTTATTAAGGATTAGTTTCATGAGGAGAAAACTCCTCTTTAGGTGCTTGGATGAGGCCAAATGTTTTAATGTAGAGAGGAGCAATTATTTCCCAATGAATAACACATTAGATGAATTTAGCCTTTTTTTCCTATTTGCAAATTGTCTTTGAGCAGATTGCAAAATTCACAAGTTTTATTTGTTTTTTGAAATTATTCACTAATTCTTGGGCTACAGGATGTTATAGATCTTGTCATTTCATAATGTGTTGGTTGATTTTGTAAGTCATGTATCTTTTCTTCTGGATACTGATTGGTTGATTTATGTCATGGAGACAGCATGAACTCAAAATCCCTGCTGTGCTGTTGAGTTATGTAAACAAGAGAACGGAAACAATGCGATTTGACTTTCGGGTATGTAAACTAAACTATTCAGCACCAATGGCAAATTTTACAATCAAATGTACAATTTGAAATCCACTTTTTATGAATATTCAAGAATTCATGCTCGTTAACTCGGGAGCACACGGATGTTCACTGAATGTGAAAGGGCTGCAAAGGTGGTTAGAAAAAAAAGGTTTCAGAGTAACAGCCGTGTTAGTCTGTATTCGCAAAAAGAAAAGGAGTACTTGTGGCACCTTAAGACGATGAAGTGAGCTGTAGCTCACGAAAGTCTATGCTCAAATAAATTGGTTAGTCTCTAAGGAGCCACAAGTACTCCTTTTCTTTTTAGAAAAAAAAAAGTCTTTTGAATTCGAGTAGATATTCACTAGAAAAAAAAAAGGTCTCCTCTGTTTGCTGAACTCTGGGTGAAACAAACAGAGAAACAAAACCCTACCAAAACAAAGCACTGCTCTGCCCACACAATTTTTCCCCTGAGGAGAGGATGAGAGAGAGAACAAACCGCATGTGACAGATTTTAATCATGTTGCTTAATGCACTAATGGAGGCTGCTTTAGATATCCCATGTGAGGCCAGATCCTCAGCTGGTGTAAATCAGCGTAGCTCCATACACCAGCTGAGGATCTAGCCCCATGAATGCTCTTCCTTTGGTAGATCACTCTTTTAAAAGGAGGCTTTAAATGTGATTTGGTTTCTTTCATGCTGGGCAGCCAAATTGTGTTTGTCACCAAATTATAGGCTGGCTAGTTACTGCTAACTCAGTGCCTGGCCCAGTATAGATAGCACTTTAGCTTCAGGCATTTTTCAGTTGGAGTCCAGCCTGATTAACTCCTTGAAAGGAGTGAGACCTGGCCTATTCGGACTGCCTTCCTTTCTGAGCAGCACATTTAGTTCTGGGGTTGTGGCTTAATGATGTATGTGTGTCTTGCAGGACAGGAATGAGTCACATGAGAATCCTTCTGTGTCCAACAAGCTACTTCTTCTTTCAACTCTCAGTTTCCAAATAGAGGATCTTGTGACGAAGTGGAAAGTAAGAAGCGTGGCAGTGTGTAACATTTCTGCACTTTCCTGTCCCCTTGGAGGAGGAGATGCCTAGCATGTTGTTTTAACAGGTTGATGCTAAGCAAATAAACAGAGAAAGAAAGATGGGTAGTTTTCTGTAAATAATGGTAGGCTGGTCAGAGACTTAACACAGAAAGGAGAGAGAAAGTGTGTAAAGATTGCATGATGTTCATGTAAAAACTATTTATCTGCCATACAGAGATACCAGTACTATCCTGCCACTAGACATGCGGCAAGATGAACACGCCAAAGGGTTCACTGGGAGTTTTAGATTCAGATCGGAATTTCACAGTGGGCTTTTATCTCTCTAATGGGCCAAACTAAAACCAGAATTATTATTTATCTGTAGTGCCTAAGAGCCCTAGTCATGGACTAGGACTCCATTGTGCCAGGCTCTGTACAAACACTGAACAGAGATACAGTCCTTGTCCCCAAAAGCTTACAACGTAAGTGTAAGACAGGAAAGACAGGTGGATACAGACAGGGGAATGCAAAGAAACAATAAGATTATATTGGTCAGCATAATAGACAGAGTGGTCTTGGCACACTGGTAAGGATCCAACACCATTAAGCTTCGGATGATTTGAAATGTGTTGGTAGATCTGAATTCTGTGACTTGGGCCCATCTCTAATAGCTTTGGGGGTTTCATTTCTCTCTCTCTCTATATATATATATAGAGAGAGATACTTTGCATGGTGTCTGCCCAAGTGCTGATCACAGCAAGGTTCTGTATGTGATTAATTAGACCTTGTTATCAGCAGTCACTTTTATGTCACTTCTCTCAGCAGTGTGTGCTCCTGATAATGATTATGTGAATTACAGAGTGCGGTTTCCAAACTTTGGCACCCACAGTGAGCGTCCAAATGCCTCATCTGGGATTACAAATGTCCAGTTAGGCATGTCAAATGGAATTTGGGCATCTGTAGCCAAACAGCACCAAAATATAGGCTGCAGGTGCTTAATTTAGGCATAAAATTGCAATTGGTTCCCCAGTATTTGCATTTTGGGTTTCACCCAGTGCTTTAGGAGGAGTTGGTAGAGTAATAATAAAAATACCCAGCCCTTATCTAGCACTTTTCATCCATAGTTCTCAAAGCGCTTTACAAAGATAGATAATTATCCTGGATTTACAGATGGGGAAACTGAGGCAAAGGGCAGTGACATCACCTGGCAGGCCAGAGGCAGAGCCATGAATAGAACCCGAGTTCTAGGGCAGAGCTCTGTTCACTAGGCCACCCTGCCTCTATTTGTTATAATGTCACATTTGGTATGATATATATGTTGAACTAACTGGTTACACGGCCATGTTGTTTGAGCATTTACTGCTTGTCTACCTTTTCTACATGCACAGCCACATGCTATTTGATGGGTGTGTAATAAATCAACATATATATATATATATATATATTTCCTTCCAGTTACTTCAATCAATCACTGGTTAATTAGAGCTTCTATTTAATTTGATCAAAACCTAAAGAAAGAAATAATCTGTGGTAAAAATAACCCAAATTCCACCCTTTATTTGGATCAATTTAAAGAGGTAGCATATTATTCAATCAGTGGCCTTGGGACATTCTGTTTAATTAATACAGGGAGGTAAATATTCTGAATGAAATCAAAGAGAGAGCACCAGGAAGTCCCTTCTGATGATACAAGATGAATACAATGACAAGATGTGTTGTTCAGCCATTGTTATCTATGTTGTTATAGATGGCCTTCGACTACTAAATTTAGGGGGTCAGATCCTAAGCTGGTGTAAACGGACATAGATCTGTTGACATCAGTTGAGGATCTGCTTCCGGATATGGACCCGAATTGCCCAAGTTCTGAGGGTGTTTGGATCTGGAGTTTTGTCTTGGGTCCATCTCTGCCTTCCATGGACTGAGCTGGTGGGGTGTGTGTGTGTTAACTAATCCTTAAATTGTTACATGAACTTCCTTGGAAGCCAATAGGGGATGTGTGTTAAGACTTCAGGGTTAGGCACAAGATATGATACCTCCACCCCTACTTGATGATCATATGGATAATGAGATAATCCACTTAAGTCAATCGAAGTGAGAGGTATGGAAAACTGTGTATAGAGAGTGTTAGAATGGAAACTCTTACCAAGTAGTCTAGAGGAATGAGCATGGGTCTGGGGGGTTAAGAGTGTTTTATTCCCGTCTCTGCCACTGCCCTCCTGTGTGCCCTTGGGCAAGTCATCTAGGGAGGGATTGTTAAATCCCTCGGGATTTGTGCTTCTAAATCACTTAGGTGCATTTGAAAATCCAATCTTTACCTCTTTGGCAAGTGTGAAATGGGGATAATGATAGTATCGTACCTATTGTGCAGGAGTGCTTGGAGAGTGAATGATCCTTTGGACAGAGAGCAATATCTGAGAGCTGAATATAAATAACAAATAATACGACTTACCAGAGAGATCAAGGGAAGGAACTGAGGGAAAGGAAACACACAAGCTGGTTATGGAATGGGAGGTAGGTCTAGGAGCAAAGTTTCAGTAGAGGGAGGTGTTTGTTACAATTAATATTGTTTATTATTTGTATTGTGGGTAGCACCTAGAGGCCCCAGCCCCATTGTGCCAGGGGCTGTACAGACTATAACAAAGAGATGACCCATGCCCCAACATTTAAGATGAAAGACAACAGGTGGATACCGCAAACTGATGGGAGAGCACAAGGAAGCAGTGAGGCCATTATGAACAGTGGAATAAGCAGTGGTCACAGCACACCAGCTGTCTAAGAACTGTCAAATGTTTTTTAGGCATCGTGGGACAGTGCCTTTTAAGAAGAGATGTAAAGGAGGATAGTGTCCTGGAAGATTTTTATAGGGAGCTTCTCCTTTTCATAGGTGGTAGCATGGGAGACTGCATGATGATCGCTTGTCTGAAAATTTGGCAAATGGGCAATCAAGGGTGACGTAGGCAGAGTGGAGGTGAGAGTTTACATCTGTCTAGTGGATTAGAGATCCTAGGTAGGACAGGTGTAAGCCATAAAGGGTCTGAAAGGTGAAGACAAGTAGCTTGAGCTTACTGCAGTGGAAATGGAGAGATGCAAACAAGGTGTGACATGGTCAAAGCAAACAGCCAGGCAGATGCTTCTGTGAAGAATGTAGGCACGTATAAGGTGGGAAGAAGGACTCATTGTGTTTGTGCCATACATTCTGTAACATCAACCTGTTTGTCATGTGTCTCTTCTGTCTCCCTTCCCACTCCCTCGGACAGATATGACTTTATCGAGATACGGGACGGCGACAGCGAGTCGGCAGACCTGCTGGGCAAACACTGTGGGAACATCGCTCCTCCAACCATCATCTCCTCAGGCTCCTCTCTCTACATTAAGTTCACCTCTGATTATGCACGGCAAGGCGCTGGCTTTTCTTTGCGCTATGAGATCTACAAGACAGGTCAGTGTCAAAGGCAGACTTTGGACTGGCAGTCCTACAGCACCTATCTTCCCAGCAGTTGACATTGGGATCATCACAGAGCAAATCCTGTGGGCCACATTTTCAGTAGGGTTTTTAGCATGTGCTCAGTACAAAGGGTTTTATTTTTTTGGCAAGTCTGTTTCATCATATTTCCAAGAAGGTAAAGATTTTAGTGGTGCGTTATAGTGCTTTTTGATTCGTATCTTGGCATGAAAAGCAGGTTTCCTCATTAAATTCTCTTGCATTCCAGAACTACAAACACTCTATCTTTTCTTCATGGCATGTAAGCGCTTGTTAAGTCAAGGCTAAGGTGAAGATTGTCCCTCCTTTAGAACTCTCTAAAGTTCCTGTGGATATACAACTTAAGCACTGATCAATGGCTCTGTTTTCTCTTTCTGGAAGGCAAGGGTTTTTGTAACGGGTGGACTGCTCGTTTAAAGGGGCTGCTGCCTGCAGTGTCAGCAAGGGAGTCAGACAGGCGGCTGTTGAGTTCAGTATAACAGGAACTATTCATAATTCTGCTTTATACAAAACTATTCTGGAAGAAAGTAAAAGCTACTCAAAAGGCCTTTTTATATCATCTCTGTCTAAATATTTGTCAGAACTGTATGCATGAGAACACGTTGTCTCAAGAAAATATGAAACTCTGTGTTTGTGTGTGTGCACGCGTGTGTGTGTGAGAGAGGAGAGAGATTGAGGGGTTGTACATACTTCCTCTTATGTCGGTATAACATATGTCGCTCAGGAGTGTGAATAACATCTCCCCGCCACCTTCCCCTGAGCGATGTAAGTTACACTGACCTAAGCGCCTGTGTGGACAGCACTAAGTCGGCGGGAGAGCTTCTCCCATGGACATAGCTACCGCCTCTCACGGAGATGGCTTTATTACGTCGACGGGAGAGCGCTCTCCCATCGGCGTAAAGCGTTGGTGCAGCTGCACCGCTGTAGCGCTTCTAGTGTACAGTAGCCTTGAGAGAGAGCGAGAGAGCTTGTGTGCACATGAGGGGCATAAGTATGTTTTGCACAAGGGTACCCGAAGCTATCTGTCATAGGACCAGGCCCTGTGCCCACATTCCATTGCTAGAGTACTGGAAGAAAACACACAACTGTCACGTCATCGGCAGAATATGAAACAAATACATGAATATACTGGAGAATCAAAAATAGGCGCAGCTTTGTTTGTGTCTTTTCCAGAATCTTCATACCACCACATAAGTATTTAGTGGTTTTGAGCACAGTTATATATTATTTAGAGACAGATGCTTGTAAATACACAGAGACATACAGACTCGGGTGCTGATGACTGGCTGACTGGGGATGGGAATACAAATGAAACAGGACTTCCTAACTTTAATTTAGAAGGGGGGGGGGTGGATGAAAAAAATCCGTCAGTGTATCTATCTGTTCCTGGGGTGACTTGTTAAAATGGAGAATCGTTATGAGGTGGTGGCCATGTAAAGCCTCTGGCACACAGTTGAGCAGTTCTTTTTCCATCCAGTGGAGGGCAGTGGTGCACATACACACCAGCCAGGTCATGACATTGTTTCACGTAATGGTTAGAACATTGACTAATCCTGAAGGGGTTAGTTAACCCATCAGGACTGGCTGTTTTCGTGGGATTTGCTGAGGGAATAGTGGACGCTGAGGCAGGGATCAGGATGAGTCTTTGTTCAGGAGGGAAGATAGTTGACTCAAACGGGGCTGTCTTGCCTCTTCCTACTCGTAACCCTTGGTCCTATCCCAGTCCTTCCTGTGTGCCTCGTCCCATTTGCCCTTGCTGTCAGTCCCATGCCCTGACTTTTATGTCATGAAGCAGTAGGACCGGGAGTAGTCCAGTATGCAGCAGTGGCCAGGATGAGGCTGAGCTGACAGAACCAGGCAGTGGTGCTGTGCCGAGAGGCCGCTGGCAGGGAGTGAGAAGCGCTCTGTCCATTGAGTACGAACCAGGAAAGGGCTAACATCATGGGAAAAGACCATTCGAGGGAGAGGAAGTAGGGGCTGCGTCAGAGAGGCAGAGGGAGCAAGAGGAAGGCAGGAGCTGAGTCTGCTCATTCCTGTCCCTCAGCTTGGATTCCCTAGACAAATATACTTCCCTTCAGGTAGAAGGCCTCGGGCTGGGACTTCATCAAGTACAGGCCTCCTTGCTGGTACTGAGTGCTGTTAAAATGCTCACTGTCCTCCCTGAAGAGGGCTCTTGGCTTGAAACCACTCTAGACAAAATTCAAAACATAAGCAAGGTTTCAGTTCCTGGAGAGTGGGAGGCACTGAAGCCAGTTGTTTACACAATCTCAGAGTGCACACAGCCCACCTAGAGAGAACAGTGTCCCCTGAAACCATCTTCAGGGGTAGGAGGGTCTCTGGCCTCAGATCTGCGGGGTAAACAAATCCTGCCTTTTGTTTGTAGACAAACAGATAGGGCATGGATCAGAGCTACGGTTCAGTCAGAACTGGTGCTTATCCGGTGAAGTGTCACTGGCTTTAAAGGGCATCCAATTGAGATACTCCATGTCAGTGACACACACACACACACACACAATTAAGAGACGCACTGGGCATATAAACAGCTGCTTCCTAATGGTTAAGTCCCCTGGTGTTGTATTGGTCAGTTTTGCTGCGGCACCCCAAAAGATGACATCCAGGTCACAATTTTCAAACATGCCTAATGAGTTTGAGCACGCAACGCAAGCGATGCAGCTTAACAGGGCCTGCATTTCAGAAAATACTGAGCAGACCTGTCCTGTGAAAATCAGGCCTCATTAAGGGTGTCTCAAGGTTGGCCCCCAGAATCATTACGCTTTTGAAAAGTTTGGCCCCATGACACCCCCTCATACCAAGGAAACTCTGCTGCCAGGTACATCTCATGTTTACTACCTGGTAGAGTTTTCAAAGCTCCTTTTTATTATTAAAAATGGAAGAAGAATAAATTAAGCACACTTTGAAAACCATTCCAAGAAAAGAAAAACGACCCACTCCCCTTTATGCAGGAGTTCATGTATAGCCATGATATTGATGCCTTCCAGGAGAGATGGGTCCAAACCAACACCCTCTCACCAAATACTTTGGGAGAGATAGATCTGAACTTTATGGCCCCGGCCATCCCTGCCTCTGGGGCGTGACAGTGAGAGCAGTTTGACTCAAACTGTTTTTAAGGGTATGTCCACACTGCTCTGAAAAAACAACCACCCCAAAGGAGGGGTGGTAGCTTTATTACCGGGAGCGCGGCTCCTGGCGATAAAGTGCTGTCTATACTGACGCTTTTCAGCACTAAAACTTTTGTCGCTCCAGGGTGTGTTTTTTCACACCCCAGACCGAGAAAGTTGCAGCGCTGCAAAGTGCCAGTGTAGACAAGCCCTAAGTGGTTGCCTTTTCGTTGTTTATGTGCTGAATTGTTCTCTAAGCCTGGTGAGTGGGAGCATTTAGCACATATTGCTGAAGTAAACATGATTTCCATTTATTATTTGCAGGTTACCTTTAAAGCCAGTCATTGTTTGCTGGTTATAGTCAAGCTATTGACAAAGATACTAACCGCTGCAAGCAACCTAAATGAGGAAATCGTTGCTATCTAACAGTATCACAGTTACATTTCTGTACAGTCCCTAGAGGACATTTCCTGACAGTCAACATCTGGTTTATTGAATATTTCTGTGCTTTCCTCCTCGGCTTGGAGTGTGTATTAGTCTCTTCATAAATCTGGCTGCCTTTTTATTTGATCAGGAGTAAATACATTCTTATTCTTGTTCTTTGTGTTGTCTTGCAATTTGTGCTTGGCCTCTTGTATTTCCCTCTGTATTATCACACCAGAGAAGCTGGCCGCTCTCCTATAGTCCGTTAAGAAGTTCCTCTCAATGTTCCTCCACCTAGGGGTACTACAGTAACAGTGGTCCAGCTGTTGTCTCAAGTTGCTCTCCTAACTTGCGTTGGCTAGTGCAGATCTTAATAACAAGGCTCCAATTAGTCCCAAGAAGACTTGCATGAACTGGGTGAGTGAGAGCAGTGAGTTTATAGAGGAGAAGCGCAACATCCCTAGAAAACAAAAGTCAAACCCTTAGTGAATGTTAATCCTGTGTTACAGTCATGGTGATAAAGGCCTCTGTAACACCCTCTTTGCCCCTCCGATGGCCCACAGGCTGGAGATTTCTATTGTCAATTGTCCAGCCTCTAAAAAGCAGTGGTTTTAAAGCAGCCATGGTATGAATAGGACACAACCTCCTCTTCTCCCCCACCACCCTGAGGCACCTTGAGCTGGCTGTGGTACAAGGGAGGCCAGCGTCAAGGTCAGGAATAAATAAGTGGCAACATTGTCTGCCCTGTTGGCAATCAGAAAATCTTCCTCGAGAATAGAAATAACTAACATTTCTGGTGCAGACAGCTGAATAAGAGAGAAAGAGCGCTCTGTTCCTCCTGTCAACAGAATCTCTCTCACATACACGCGCGTGTGCGCGCACACACACACCAGTCCTCCCTGTCCCCGAAATCTTTCAACAGCCACAGTCTGGAGACGTAGGCTGGACCAGCCATGTGCACGCTCTACAGCTAAGGTGTTAGGCTTTGGATGATGCTGCAGAGAGGTTGCTCTACTAATTGCCGCTCCGATGGAAAATAAAATACATAATAGCAATAATGAATCATTGATAATTTACACTTTGCTAGCAATTGCCCATGGGAGGGTTTTGAAATGCTTTACATGCAGGACTGAAGTAAGCCTCACAACAGCATTGTTTCTAGGTAAGCATTAGTATCCCTATTTTGCTGATGGGGAAACTGAGGCACAGAAAGGTTATGTGACTTGCCCAAGACCTTGCAGGAAGTCTGTGCCACAGCTGGGAAAATAACCCAGATCTCATGACTCTCAAGAAGAAATTTTAGTTCAGATACTGCAGTGATGGGTGCTAGTGTTAAGTTCTAAGATAGACAGGCAGACAGACACAAAATCAGTAGGTCAGGGAGATCTCTTTTAAAAATTAGACAATTCCTTGACCCTGCCAGATTCCATACCTTTCTCTGCCCCACCTAGGTCAGTCACCCTCCCTGACTGTGGGTCATGATTCCCTCAATTAGTTCCCCAAATGTAGCCCAAGAGAGCTAGGTCTTTAGTCTGGCCATATATGTGTTTTACCCCTTAGGCCCATTTCTCCCCCCGCCTCCCCACAATATGTTGGGGGAACCGGTATATTATTTACATTAGCCCAGTTGCAGTCTGCTGAGCTGACCCTGAACATGGTGAGTCCAGGTCCGTTGTTGGTGATGGTATGTCACAAGAATGGGTGCATCTTGGACTCTTCATGTCACAATGCCAGCTAAGAAGAGCCTGTGTGCCAAGAGCCCATCTGTAGACTGTAGGAATGGGGTGAAAAAGAACAGCAAACTCTTCCTCATGCCTGACTCACTACTGCTGGCCATGCCCCAGAGCATAACCTCTGTACTGCTGGCATGCTGACATTATGACGTTGTGCAGTGCAGCTTGGGCTTCTAACCTTTTGGGCTTTCCCATTCCCTTAATACCATTTTCAGAGTATTTGCAGCAGGATTAGCTATCGATTCTCGGTGAGGTTTTCAAAGCAGTCTAGACACACGTCTACAGTGAACGTGAGATGTTCAGTCCAAAGCCTGTCGGAATTATTTCACAATCTCACCCTCTGTCTTTATGAAATTTGCAAAGCTCTTGTGCCCCAAGAAGTTTCCAGCAAAAATCCTGACAACGCTCTGGATACGGAGCGAACACTGCCAAGCACGCAAGGAGGCGAGAGCTGTCAATGTCAGCCATGTTGTTGTTGTTGTTAGTTACGTCCGCTTGTTCTACCCCTGCAGGCTCTGAAGACTGTTCTAGAAACTTCACCAGCCCCAATGGCACTATTGAGTCCCCCGGATTCCCTGATAAGTATCCCCACAACTTGGACTGCACTTTCACCATCATGGCCAAGCCAAAGATGGAAATCATCCTTCAGTTTCTGACCTTTGACCTAGAGCATGACCCCTTGCAGGTTGGAGAGGGAGATTGCAAGTATGATTGGCTGGACATCTGGGATGGCATTCCTCAAGGTAAGCACCAGGGTGACGTATCACCAAGGCTTTTCTCTATGCCTGGCTATTCTCCCATTAACCAGCAGTAATAGGGAGTCTGAAAAATTCCATAGAGGGCATGACTCGTTGGTATTCTGCAGCACTAACAAATGCAAAATATTGTTGGCCTTTTCTCAGCTGTTAAATATGGTGATGTTGCAAATTCTATCTGTTCCCAATACTGGGTTTGTCCTCATGGAGTGTCAGTGTAGACTTCATATTACTGATGAACCTACACCTTTAATTTTCTAATTGTATCATTGGATCATTTGCGTTAGAGATGAAAAAGATCTATTGATCACTGAGTCCATCTCCTTGCAAGTACAGAATAACGTCTGTCCCACAGAGGCTGTATCAGATGTGTTCTATAGTACATGCATCAGAAATGCAGGTAGATGGACACACAGATGTGCACTAGAAATGCGGAGAGGTGGACAAACTGATACTACACTTGATCTACCTCTGTTCTTGTAAAAAATATAAGTGATAGAAACGAAACAATCAAAAATGCCTTCATTTCATCCTGATTGGTTCTGTCGGGTGGATTATTACTCGCTATCCATTACCAGTGTATTCTTGCAAAGTAGTGCTGACTTGTCAGGTTAGATAAAGACTAAAGAGTCCAACCAAAAGGCTGGAGCTACTTTGCTGCTCTTTCTTTTGCAGTTGGCCCTTTGATAGGCAGGTACTGCGGCACTAAGACACCTTCTGAGATCCGCTCAGCTACTGGTATTCTCTCGCTTACCTTCCATACTGATCTGGCAGTGGCTAAAGATGGCTTCTCTGCCCGCTACTACTTGGTCGAGCAGGAGATCCCGGAAAGTAAGTTGGAAATTTTACCGTCAGGCCTGTTTGTGGGACTCATGCAGTCATGTGGGCTTTTTATTGAATTTCTGGGAGTGTTTCCGTCATTCAGTATGTCTGTATATGCAAGCATTTGGGTGAGTGAGCCAGGATGAGTGTTTTCAAGAGTGTTTCAGAAAACTGTACAGAGAGAAATGAAACTATGTATATTTTAGCTTCTGCGTGGAAACTATAGTTACTGATTGTGATGAGTTGGACCCTTCCTTCTGGGATGCCACCTGATGTACTGGGATTTCACTGAGCCTTCCCTGCTCAATCAGTTCCCTCTCCCTGCTTTGCTGAATTAGGTTCTCCGGCCTCTTGCAGCACGCACACAAAGGTAGGGCCACACCACACTGTAGACACAGACTGAAGTCAGCTCTGCATATTTTCATAAAGAATATGGAGTGAAACGTCACATGAATTGCAGTTTCCATCTTAGTCTCACCTTTTCACTTGTTCCTAATGTTCTCATATTCCTTCTGTACTGAAACTCTCCATGTCTGGTCTTGATCCAAAGGATTTTTGGAAAATTTGGGCAAAATTGGTGCAGCCATATTATTGATAGAGTGGGAAAAACTACAGTTTTCCCAAAATATACTTTCCCAAATTGCCAATTGGAATTTTGCACTTGTCTAATTCAAAAATGCCTGAAGCTAGAAAGTTCAAACTTAATCTTGTTTTGATAGCCCCTGCTAAGGAAGGCGAAAGTATTTGGTTTGATAAAAACAAGTTCTGTTCTTTCAAAATTGTGAACATTTAAACTCAGCAAGTTAACACATACATGTTAGAAATTTTTATTTTATTTTTCTTTGTGACATCCTTCACCTAAGATGATGGTCAAAACCTTTCTGTACTGTGATGCCATGTTACAACAGAAGATAGTTTTAGGACACCTCTCTCAGAAGTTTCAAGCTTTCCCCCCTTCCCCTCCCAAGAAAGAAAGAAAGGGAGGGTGGCTATTGTCCCCAAGTTGAAAACCCATGGCCTAGAGCAGTTTAGAATATTGGACATGCACAGTCAGGGGCTGCTGTACTAAGGATATTTGCATTATGGCTGCCTCTGTGCAGTAGTCTTGCATTTGCTATGTCTCAGTTGGGAATGCCTCAGCTAGGGTTGCATGAGTTAAGGATGCCTCAGTTAAAGGCACTTCAGTTTTTCAAATTTATCCCCCCCCCATTTTTGTCCCCTTTTTATTCTCTTCTTTAAAAAACAAGGACATTAAATGTACACGCTGATGGTCAAGTTTGAAAAATCAAGGGGACTAAAGTCAGAAAATGAAAAATGTTTGCATCAAATCCTGCTCTCACTCACACTGGTGTAAACTGAGACTTTAATGGCACCGCTTAGAGCATAATTTGGCCCAGTTTCTAGTGCAGTGTTAACTCAGCCGTGTTCAACATATGGGACGTTAGTAGAGCTATATCAGTTTACACCAGCTTAGGGTCTGGCCCATGTAGTATTTGCTACTGATGTTTTCTTTGTGAAATGTATCTTACTGTTTGTTAGGAAACATATGCCGTAAAATATACATGATGTGACACATGGCTGAGTTAATGTGGATTTAAAAGCCTTAAAAGTGAGGAAATTCAAAAAGTTGAGTTCTAGATTTCTCAGTGTTAATGGTAGTGACCTTTTAAGCCAGTCTACCCCATGCAGCCACCTATGGACCCACACTTTTCCAAAGGGCAATGCATACCCACACATAGACATCTTTCAAATCTGAGTGCCATTCTTGATCACTCATGTATGTTCCCATCTGTTTCTGGCAACTGTGGGATATGGCAGAGAGTGCATTCCTCAGTGATTCCTTTCCTGCCTTTCCCAGCTTTGGCTAGAATTCACCTCTTGGCTTCAAGAGGTTATAAGTTGCCAAGGAGCTTCACAATCAGGTGCGAGGGCTTGGCACATCTTGAAAAGGGATTGGGGGAGTTGTAAACAGGGTATGGCCAGGGGGAGGGTTGTGGGTGCGCAAAGGTGGAAGAACCTTATTATAGAGGGGAAAGGATCTGGACTGAGCCCCCCACATGTGTTAATTTACAGAGGGTCTTGCAAACCTAAGGCCAGTCCTGTGCTTAATGCTGAATAGTTTTTTGCATTGCATGTGTATGCAGATATTTCTGTGTAAATCCGATCATTGTGACAGACATATGGGTTTGATCTAGGATGCTGGGGAGTAGTTCATGGCTTACTTCCAGTTGGGAGTGAAAGATACAGAATTTGTAAACTTGTCTCTGTGTGTGTGTGCGCGCGTGTCTGCTCCAGACTTCCAGTGCAACATTCCTTTGGGGATGGAATCTGGCAGAATCTCCAATGAACAGATCAGTGCCTCCTCCACCTACTCGGACGGAAGGTGGACCCCACAGCAGAGCCGGCTCAACAGTGATGACAACGGATGGACCCCCAACCTGGATTCCAACAAGGAGTTCCTCCAGGTTCGTACAGGTCCCCGTGACAGGAAGAGGAAATAGAGTGCTAAATTATCGAGGATGAATGTTAAATCTTGATTTTATTAAGGCATTTGACACAGTCCCACATGACAAACTAAGCAAACTAGGGAAATGTGGACTAAATGAAAATACCATAAGGTGGGCACAAGTGCTTGAAGAATTGTATTCAAAGAGTAATTATCAATGGTTTGCTCTCAAACTGGGAGGATGTATCTACTGGGGATGCACAAGGGTCTGTCCTGCGTCCGGAACTAGTCAACATTTTCATTAATGACTTGGATCATGGAGTGGAGAGTATGCTTATAAAATTTTCTGGGAGGGATAGCAAGTGTTTTGGAGGACAGGATTAGAATTTAAAACTACCTGATAAATTGGAGAATTGGTCTGAAATCTGAAACTCGATAAAGACAAGTGCAAAGTACTACACTTAGGAAGGCAAAATCAAATGCACAACTACAAAATGGGGAATAACTAGATAGGCAGTGGTATTGCTTAAAAGGATCTGGGGTTTATAGTGGATCATAAATTGAATATGAGCCAACAATGTGATACGGTTGTGAAAAAGTCTATCATCTTTCTGTGGCGTATTAACTGGAGTGTTGTATGGAGGATATGGGCGGTAATAGTCCTGCTCCACTCAGCACTGGTGAGGACTCAGCTGCAGTACTGTGTCCAGTTTTGGGCTCCACACTTTAAGAAAGATGTGGACAAACTGGAGAGAGTCCAGAGGAGAGCAACAAAAACGATAAAAGGTTTAGAAAACCTGACCTATGAGGAAAGGTTTAAAAAAATGGATTTGTTTAGTCTTCAGAAAAGAAGACTGAGAGGAGACCCTGATAAGAGTCTTCAAATATGTTAAGGGCTGCTATAAAGAGGATTGTCATCAATAGTTTTCCATGTCTGCAGAAGGTAGGACAAGAAGTAATCAGCTTAATCTGCAGTAAGTGAGATTTAGGTTAGATATTAGGAAAAACATTTTACCTCTAAGGATCATTAAGTACCAGAATAGGTTACCAAACGAGGTTGTAAAACCTCCACCCTTGGAGGTTTTTAAGAACAGGTTAGACAAACATCTTGCTGGGATGGTCTAGGTTTACTTGGTTTTACCTGGTCCTGCTGCGTCATGGGGGGGCTGGACTAGATGACCTCTCAAGGTCCCTTTCAGCCCTACATGTCTATGATTCTATGATTAATGTGCTGTAGAGATGGGGAATTGCGGCTATAATACTGGGCTTAGCAACAGTTTTGTGTTGCCAGGCAGCTGCTGCAGTGTGCAATATTGAACTGACCTCTAGATCACTTTTGTCAAAAGCATGGTCCGCTAGAGGCCAAGCCAGCATTGTCCTCTGAGCAAGTGCTGAAAGGGCACGCTGGCATTGGCAGGCACTGCTGTGCGGGCCTGGTAGCCAGCACTGGCAGAGCGACACTATGAGAAAGCATCTCTGCTGGACGCAAAGCCAGCGTTGGCAAAGCCCCACCATTGCACTCCAAAACTTCAGCTTTCCTCCCTCCCCCGCTTTGAGCCACATTGACTGTCCTGCTGTTAAACTGACCCTTGAACATAATAAGGCTTGTGGAATATTTTATTGCCTTTGTGACATGCAGAGAGTCCACGGTGGGTGAGCTACTGTTTAGGGAAGTCAGGACGACTCTGCCTTTGTGAAAGGAGCCAGCCCTGCTGCTGGCCCATTAACATTCCTGCACAAGTCCTGACTTGACCTTATGCCCCCTGAACCTCCATGGACTTTCTAGAGAGCTGAGAGAGAGAGAGCAGTCTCTGGCTACTTACAAGGACCATTGACTCTGCAGCCACCCTGATGGCCAGAGTCTTAACTAAATGTTGGGAATGTGCAGCTAGAATAATACTGACTGTGCTGGAGATGTAGTGAGCATGGTCAGTGTGAAATTCAGGTCGGGATTTCAGAGCAAAGTCTTTCTTTAGGCCCTTCGTTAGAAACACATTGTCTCTCCACAAAGTGTTTCTGAGTGGCTCTACCACTGTGAGATGGTGCGTGTTAATGGGCATTAAGAACTGAAGGTACTGAAATGTCATTGCCTGAAGCAGATGTCCAAGGGCTTGTCTACACTACTGCGTGGGGTCGATCTAAGATACGCAACTTCAGCTACGGGAATAGCATAGCTGAAGTCGACGTACTGAGATCTACTTACTGCCGTGTCTTCACTGCAGTAAGTTGGCAGCTGACGTTCTCCTGTCGACTCCGCTTGCACTCCTCGTTCTGGTGGAGTACCGGAGTTGACGGGAGAGTGCTCACAACATCTATCTAGACGCGATAAATCGACCCCCGCTGGATCGATCACTGCCTGTCGATCCGGTGGGTAGTGTAGATAAGCCCTAAATCTTCATTCGTGGCAGTGCTACCAAGCCAGATCGTGTGACCTTTTTTAACCCACATAACTAAAATAAACATTAAAAACATTGAAAACTGCTGCTCTTGCTAATTGGCCATCATGACTTTATTTTACATGGAAAAGCTCTGTCCCGTGGCTTCTGTCCCATTTAAAAGGAAGCAAGTGTTTAATTTTAGTGACAATCCTGTTTGGTCTGAGGGGAGACTTCGTACTTTCATTTACGGACAAACTTCAAAGTCCTTAATCAGTTTCACCCAGTCCTCACACTAGCTGAATTCCTGCTGAGGTCAAACCCTGCTTTTTTCCCATTGAAATCAATGGGAGTTTCCTTAAGACTGAGTACAAACTGAGAAAGGGCATCAAGATTTTGCCCCTTGTGATCAATCACACTTTCGTACACAGTCACTTAGCCTGCTTCATACTTAAACAGAGACAGAGACACCTGCAACGTACTTTCCCCTCTCTTTCCCCTGAAAGTATAAAATTGCATGAAAACGGCAGAGCATGAAACATTTGTTCTCTGTGGCATGTTCAGTTAAGTGGTCTGAAAATCAGCCCTGGAACAGTACTGCTGAGTTTCCAAACCAGTGTGACCCTTGTTGCACAGAACACTCAAGTAATGGCAGTGGTAAAAGCCACAGCTGTGTCTACATGCTCTGATGAAAGCAAATGGGATATTAGATCCTCCGCTGGTATAAATCCACAAAGCTCCAGTCGCGCTGCACCTGCTGGAGCCATGCTGGTTTGCACCCTGTGAGCAGTTGACTTTTAGTTTTTAAAAATGAGGGGATGGTCCAGTCCACCGTGGGACTGATGGTAATCACCATTTTCTTCCTCATCCTCCTTTCCCTTCTCTCCTCACTGCCCCCCACCCCCCGATCAGGTGGACCTTCGTTTCCTGACCATGTTGACCGCCATTGCTACCCAGGGTGCCATCTCCAAAGAAACGCAGAATGGCTACTATGTCCGCTCCTACAAGCTGGAAGTCAGCACCAACGGTGAGGACTGGATGATGTACCGGCATGGTAAAAACCATAAGGTAAATGCATTGTCCCTTAACAGCTGCACCCGTGGGAGCCTTGCCAGCGGTGGAGGAGTGGGAGGGGAAAGGCAAGAATACATTTTATGGATTTAGGGATTTATTTTGTAAGGCCTGTTTTGCTGACGCTGCTGGTCAGGGCTGACAGGCTGCGTGGGGAGGCCTTCCCCAGAAATGATCTTTCTCATCGATAGAGCGATCACTGTTCCTTAGAAAACCTGGCTGCTGTTGCGTCTTGCTCAGTGGAGAGAGCCTGCAGTATGTTCTTTGACTGCAAATGAAGGAGAAAATGCTTTTCACAGCCCGTATTTTGCCATACAAGATTCATTGAGCATTTATGGCTGGAGCCCCATCCCCATGCTGGGTTAACAATCACAAAACCACATGAAACTGCAATTCAGGAGTTATTGAGGCCTGGAAATGAAAGGGCACAAATCCTAAGAGGGGATCGCTGTGTCCCGGAGAATAAAACAAACAATAAATAATGAGGAGCAATTCAGTTTGTCAGGCATACGGGATCTGCAGTAGCAATCACAGTTGGCAGTGCTGCTTGTGCCTGCTGTAGCCGCAGCTCCTGGAGGTGTGTAGTGGGGTGGGGAGGTGGGTTGTGTGTAATATGGATGTTTGACCCTTGGAGATCTTTGAGCCTCCGATGCACCCTGAATGCACAATGAAGGGAACGCTCGTGAGGTGCTGTGGTTTTGAGGGTGGGTAGGGGAACAGCTGGCTGCACAGAGTGCAGATGTATATAAAACAGAAGTGGTTTCAGGTAGGTGCGGCACTGTAATTCGCCTGGGCTGTACAGGTGCCCTTTAATTAAAGGAACTTCTGAAATGCCCCTGAGAGCTCTGTTGTGGTTGGCTGCGGTGTTGACGTCCCCTAGTGGATCGTGTACATAGGCACTGTACAGTGTGGGGAACAGCAGCAGTTGTCCCCCAAACAAGAATTTCATCCGCACAATCTGTTCTGTACATTAACTGCTGAGGGTTGGGGCACAAAACGGAGATGAAGGTGAAGTGATTTTGCTATGACTTTATTTATTTATTTTTCATTTTCCTGAGTGAGGCTCTCAGCCCTCCACTGGCAAAGGGCATGAAACCCTCTAGCTCAACTTCACAGCCATTCATCCAAACGTTTTCTTTCCTCTGTGTCCGCATGGTTTCACCTACCCCACAAGTGTCTTTCAGCGTGTCTCAGGTTCAGACTAACTAAGGTGCCTATTTGGTCCCCATTACCATTGTATTAGAGCACCTCACACTGACCTATTTATCCCCAGAACACTCCTGGTGAGGTACGGAGGGGGAACTGAGGCAGAGAGAGGCTAAGTGACTTGCCCAGGTCACACACAAAGTCTGTGGCAGAGCAGGCAACTGAATGCAGGGTTCCTGAGTCCTATGATAATGCCCTAACCATTGACCCACGCTTCATATCAAAGCTTACTGCAAATCAACTAGCACCCCTTGGATTCACACTCAAATCATGAAACTCCACATTTCCTGAAGATTGGCCTGACCCAAACTCCCAAATCCAAACACCTTTGGGCAGATTGGATCTGGAGCTGCATGTGGCAGGTAGGGCCCATCTCTAAAATGTCACATCATTCCAGTACAAAACTATCTGGAGTCTTTGGCTGCCTCCCAGCTGGGCCCAGGTTGTCTCAGAAAGCTCCTAGGCCTTAGCAGACCTCTTGATGAACATTGGCTGAGTTTCTAGACTGCAACAAAACATATAATCAGGGGAGTTTGAAGTTTCATTAGGACCATTTTTGCAAAGCATACAGGGAATGGGCAAAACTGGGGTTAGAAAGATGTGCTCTGAAAAACCAAGTTGGTCAGGCTGGTGTTTAAATTGCCCTTTGCAGGAAATTTGCAAGTCAGTGTCAGTTTCAGTGTGATGCAGATTTTTGTCACCTCTGACTTTATCCTTCCCTGCCAGGGGACTCTGTAGACATGAAACCAGATCCTTGGCTGGTGTTAGTCAGGGCAGCTGGGTTGACTTCAATGGAGATAAGTTGTTCTACACCAGCTGGAGATCTAGTCCACAAAGCGTGAGACCCTTCGGCCCAGATCCTCAGCTGGTGTCACTCAGCGTAGCTGCTCAGCAGTCAGTGGAGCTGTGCTCCTTGACACCAGCTGAGGATCTGGCCCCTTTGTATGTAGAAAGACAGCTCAGCTACACAACCTCCTTCAATATAAATCTCTCCCTCTTTACTCCTTTATGTTCATCCCAGTCTCTCTCCCTCTCCCTTTTGCTGGACTCAATTTAGCAGACACCTCCTGAGGCTGGTGGAGAAGTAATTGCTTTTTGGTGACCTGCCTAGCCTGAAATCAGGGTGACTGGTTTGTTCCCCTCCCCTTTAAATGTTCAGCCTTCAGCAGCTGAGCAGCAGCAGAATGAGTGCAGAACCTTCTGATTCGACTGTACATCCCTCAGCCCCGGAGCGCGGCTCAGCGCATGGAGCACCAGCGAGCTGGCCACGCTTCCCGTTTAACGTTAATCACTGCTGTTCTTTCATTAGGAAACCTCCCAGATGTCTGTATTTAATGTGCAGATTCCACACTATTCCTGGTGCGTCAGTGCAGCTCTCCGCACGGTTCACAGTGAAATAGTTGAGTGAACCATGCCAAACAGATTTGTCAAGTCTGCCGCAGTTTGATTTGATGCCACGAGGAGTGGGGAGGGGCGGAGGACTCAGTATTCCTCCGTATACACGTATAGATGGATCAGCCCATCTCCCTCTTGCCTGTGTAAGGTGGGCAGGGAGCCAAGCTTAACTGGCGCTTCCCGCGAGTCGGCTAACATCTACATCTTCATCAGAGAGAGAGAGAGATACAAAAGAGGAGAAGGACTGAGCATAGGAGGGGTGGATGGCAGATAATATTCTCTCCAGAAAGTGGAGGGAAGGTATGACCTCCCCTCCAGTGCTTATGGTGCCAAGGAAGAGGAAAGGGTGGGTAGATGTGGTGTTTACTGCAGAATTTGAAGGCTAGACTTCAATTCCCTGGCTGCTCTCAGTGTTGATACAGTGTACCAAAGGCAAGGGAACAGGAAAAAGGAGAATAAAGTGGAGGAAAACAAGATTAATGAGAGCTCAAGGCAGCGGGGGACGACTGTTGTTGTCTTGCAGAGTGCTAATATATTTGGGGGAGAGGGAAGGGAGGGTAGCCAAATTGCAAACATGCTGCCTGAATGAGATCAGGACTAATCAGAGTCTTTCTGTTTCCACTCCTGTCCACCAACCTGCCTCCTCAGCCCAGCTGCTCCCAGTCAACAGGTGAGGGAGGCTATGCTGTGCTGAGGAAAGTGATTATAGCTTTGTCTGGGGCATTGCAGGCATGCTTCTCTCCAGATTTAGCCTAGAAAATTGTACACATAGGCAATACATCCACATTCATTTACATGAATGTTGAACAGACGTGCCTGTTATACATTAGTCCATTAGTCTCTCTCTCTCGTACACACACACACGTATGAGACATGGGCCCAGGGTGCAAAATATGGATGCAAATTTCCAACGCTCCCAAATACATGGTTTATCTCTGTAACAGAGATAAGGAGCAGAGTTGGGGACTTCCTCTCTGCCATGCACACACACTGTTTATAACTACACCACAAACCAGAGAATCAGTGGACCCAATGGGTCATATTTCCAAGCACAGTATAGTGCCCATTTATATCAGTCCCTTGTCAGGCATTTTTGTAAGCTGTAACAAAAAGTACTTGAACTCTCACTTTGGACATCTATGTTCAATGCTCTGGGTGAAAGCTCAGTCCTGTGGCTTCTTTATCTAAAGAGCTGCAGGGAAGATCTAGCCCTCAGCCCACACTCTCCTCTGCACTAAGGTACCGCACTGCAGATGTTTAACCCATCTCCCAAATCCTGACTTGCTTTCACTGTTTGTGTAGATGAAACGAGGATCACTTCAGATTTGTCCATATTTGGAAAATTAGGACCTAAAATTCACCCCTGGAGCTGCACCTGTGGAGAACTACAGGTCCCAGTTTTCCTAGCATAGTTGCAATCCTATGTTTATGGGGCCCAATTCATCCCTTGTAGCATACCAGTAGATCCCATTGCTCTTGGATACCAGCTGACTCCCTGATCTAGGATTTGTCTAGGTATATAGGATCCTATATTATATCTTTAATGGGAATAACTTTTGATCCGGTAAAGGGCACTCTCAGATGCAGAGATTCCGCCCCAGTGATGGTTCTCTGCCCAGTGTACACAGGGCCCAGTCTTGCATGCATTCCTCAGGAAATACTCCCAGGGCAGGCAATGGGAGTGAGGTGTAGAGGCTGAGGTACACTGCTTTCTGTCTGGCTGCAGGATCATTTCTCTTTTACACCCCCAGTCTGCTATTCCTGGATTTAATAAATGCAGAACTATCCATCTCCTCTTCTCCAGGATCTTCACGCCACCAAGCTGCCCTGCTCCCCATTTCAAGTCTGGCAAGAAAAATAATCTCCCTGACTTTTCTCCTTCATGCTTCTCTGTCTCAAATCCTGAAACCCTAATCCTGTTAACGCGCTCTGTTCCAGGCCTCTGTCTCCATGGGGTAACCTAATCCTGCAGTAAATCTAGTCCATGCAAAGACAGACACACACACAGCTGGGGGAGGAGCGGCTGCTATCCCCGCCCCCCACCCTAGAAAACACAAAACCTCTCCCTGGAATGTCCCAAGAAATTGCATGATGACAAAAACAGCACTAAAAATAAATAAGGCAAGAGACTGTCCCCAACCATAAACTGCTTTTTGGATTTAATGGTGCTTTTCTCGCCTTTGCTTCACTTCTGACTTGGCAGCTGATAGGATTCCCACACCCGGTGGAACTAATGCAGCTTTAAAAAATCCCCTAGCCGACAAGGGGAAGTTTTAAAGTGAAGAGTGTCCTGGGTATGATTTACAAGTGGAGGCAGGAGGTGGAAAAACCCACCCTGGCATCCTCCAGCCCCGGCATCCTCCCCCTTCCCTGTGTTTCTGCAGCAAATTAATTAAGCGAGTCAACTCTCATTGATTATCAATTTAATTTTACGTGTAGACCTGTTGGCTGGACTAAAATGGAAGTAAAAATAAAAGTGTAGGGAGGGGACAGGCAGGTCTTTGATGCTGCAGTGAAAGTGGGTTGCCTTGGCCGCTGCTTAGAAGATGCTTTTAATTTGTTAATGGTTTTTACATTTGTCTTCCAACTCTGCCACCCTTGTGTGTGTATTTTCATCTATCACAGCCAGATCCTCAGATTGTGTAAATCATTGCAGATCCATATAAGTCAATGGATCTACCTTGATATACACCACCTATGGATCTGGTGCATCATGTGTGTTGAGTGGCTTGCAATGTACAGAGGTAGGGAGACAATGTGATGTTCTCATTGTGTAACAAAACATTACTGCTTCGTTGGGGCTCTGGGTTTCACAAGTGCTCCTGCTGGTTCTTGCTGTGCTATGAAAGTTAACTCAGGGCATGATTCCAAGCCTCCCGAAATCAATGAGAATCTTTCCCTGGATCTCAAGGGGCTTTGGATCAGACTTTTAGTTAAAACAAATTCGACCAACAATAGGTTTCTCTCACCAACAGGTCAGCGTCCAGCATCTCTAAAGAAGGAAGGGGGCCAAGGTTTCCAGAAGTGATCAGGGATGGTGGGTGTCTCACTTTGGGGAGGGAGGCATTCAACCTGAGACAACTTAAAGGGCCTGATTTTCTTAAAGTGCTCAGAAAATCTGGCCCCTTAAAGGTGTGCCATGCTGGACGCCAAACCACCCCAAATCAGTCATTGCTTTTCATGCGCAGGCCATGCGCAGGTCTGAGGCTGATCCTGTCAATGCCAATGACAGGAAGATTAGAAGTAATGTGCAGCAATACAACGAGCTTCAAAAGGGGTTGAGTGTTTAGGGGACTGGCAAAAAACATCTACTGGAGTAATGCAAAGTAAGTAATCTTGGAGCAAGTAGCCAAAGTTAAAGGATCTGATCAGGGCAAGGATTTGGGACTTATTGTGGAAAAACCATTAAACCTGTCAACGCAGAGCAGAGGTGCAGGAATAAAGGCGCAGGAATTGCTTGGGCCAGGTCTACACTACAGAGACTATAGCAGCATAGCTCTGGTGCGGTCGCTGTGCCGGCATAACCCCTTAACACAGACTCAGCCTACACCGATAGAAGGGATTTTTCCATCATTGTAGGGACACCACCTCCCTAAGCAATGAGAGGGAGGTTAACCAAGCTGCCTCTACACCCAGGGGTAGGTCACCCCCGAGTGCCATAGCTATGTTGACCTCGATGTTAAGTGTAGACCAGGCCTCGGTCCTATAGTGTATCAGAGGTGGTATTGTTATTGATTAAAGCACTTAAAAGACATACCACAAGTGATTCCTCCTGTCTGCTCTGTTTAGTATTAATCTCTGAGCAGTACCAAAGGGAGGATGCAGCAAAGGCAACAAAGATGCCAGCTGGCCTTAAAAAATTGGGGTCATTTCAGGCCTACGCATCCTTACCAGCCGTGCCTATTGATGGGAGTTGCACATAACTCATAACCAAGGCCCAGATCCAGCACAGTTCTGACGTGCGTGCCTAACTGGAAGCACATTCTGAAGTGCTTTACTGAATCAGGTTCTGTCTGGGGAAGGAACGTGGTCCTAAGTTCTGAAGCAAAATGTAAGGTCAAAGGACTCATCTCCTTAGAAACAGGAGGAGGATTTCAGGCAACCTAAGAAATGTTTTCAGCATTACAAAAGAGATGGATAAAGTTGCAAGGCCCAACCCTGGAATTTATTTCACGGGTGTAAATCCAGAGTCACTCGGCTGAAGTCAATGGCACCCTATACCGAAGTCAATTCAGAATTAGGCCCACGTTTTTCATACTGCAAAGGGAGTTCAAAAATTAGGTAACATAAACTAGGAAAGAAGCCAGAATGGGAGTAATCAGCAAACGGGTCAGAATGGGGGTAATCCTCATATGGAATAAATTATCAGGAAAGGTGCTTGAAACGAGGAGGATATATACATCTAAAAGAGAGATGTAGACATGTGTTTGGAGAAGGAAGGGATTGATGCACAGGGTGAAAAAGCAGGAAACTGGGATTATATTAAACCAAATAAAAGGTGGTTACATTAGAGCCGGATAAACATTTCCTGTTCTCCTATCTTATGTTCTTAGGTGATTTGCTGCACATCAGCTTTTCAGGTGACATAAAGCTGGAGCCTTTGGTCTAGGGTGGAAATATATCCTCTCACCCAGAGTGTGGGCCTTCTCCCTCTCTCCCTCTGTCACACACTCACTCACAGCAGCCACCATTTGTCTAGCCCTCCCGCTGGAAAAAGGGTGTTTGGTGACTGCTGAGCAAGGCAAGGATGGGAAGAGGGGGTCGGACAGGAATAAAATAGGATATTAAAAACCCATAAACCATGCTGTGTTGCTAAACAGTACCAGCATGATCTATAGTCTCTGGATTAGCATTTCTGTTCAAATCTACTCCAAATCCCAATTATCAACCAGATTTGCAGACAGAGCCTTGCACAGCCCCCCCTCTCCTCACCACCCCATAACTAATCCCGTAATGTCCGAGGGGCAGAATCCCAGCACTTTGCCTGGAGAGCACAGTTCAGGTTGTGGCGCTGTGAACACTGACAGCAGCCGTCACGGGTTTGGTGCTGAATTACTCTCTCCCTGCTGTAACAATCTCCATGCCCCAATGTGCTGGGTTCCAGGAGAGCTGCATTAATGTGTCCTGTCTGCAGGCTTTAAAAAAAAATCTCAGTGGGAGCCTTGCTCCTGTTCAAGGCAATGGGCCAGGTTACAGCCTCACTTGCTTTTCTCCAAATCGCAGGAATCTATGGTTGAATTATTTAACTCTTGCCTCTGACAGAGGTGAGCCAGTGCCAGGCATTTTCTTTCTCTACCCTCCTGTTTTACTCTCAGATAAACTTCATGGAAGCTCTTGTGCTTAGCAAAGCATATGCAGGGTAGGAGAGAGCATAAAGCATAGCCAACGTTGCAGTGTCTATGCAGTTCCTGGCTTGCAACAGGTGATGCACTAACCCTGAAAGCCTGAGAGGAGAGAGAGAGCATCCAGTAATGACTTCAGCGCCCCAGGGTGGGCAGTTGTACGGCACAGAGAACCATTTAAAACTCCACTCAAGTTGGATGTTTCCTTTTTCACTTGTTCCCCCCTGATGGCACTGAAAACTAAGACAAGAACCACAAGTATACCGTATAATAGAAGAGCAAGCAAAAGAGAAAAAACTCCACATGGTAGTTATTGATTATGGCCATCTGGTAAGACAGATGCTTGTTTGTACCATGCTGGATCACAAACTGCCCCTGAAAGCTTTCTTTTATGTGAGAGGCACGGGCAGTCATTGATTATAAAGAGGCAGCCACAAGGTGGTCCTAAATAATGATGCTTCAAACTTGCACATCGATGTTCTCTGTAGATCTCCATACACGTCACAAAGATGGGAAAGGGCTATTATCCCCACTTTATAAATGAGGAAACTCAGGCACAGAAAAGTTAAGGTCAAAATTGGCCTTTTATTTTATTTATTCAGATTTTTAGGGCCAAACATCCACTGTTCCAGATGAAGCCAGTGGGAAATGAGGCCCAACTGGGCACCCAAAATCAGAGGCCATTTTTGGCCTAAGCGACTTCCCCACGGTCACACAATGAATCAGTGGCCGCGCACCCTGCCCACTCTAGCCAGTCCAACTCCCTGTGCACTGCTCCTCAGTGCTTCCTGCTGCTAGGGCACTAGCCCATCTTAGAAAGCCCCTGCCTGTCCTTTTGCTTTGGGTGATTATTTTGCTTAGCCAAGGACATCCTGATATTTTCTCCCCATTGCAGGTATTTCAAGCTAACACTGATGTCACCGAAGTGGTCCTGAACAAGATCCACACCCCAGTGCTGACTCGGTTTGTCCGGATCCGTCCCCAAGTCTGGCACAATGGGATTGCTCTCAGACTTGAGCTCTATGGCTGCCGCATCACAGGTTAGGAGATTTCCAGTTCTTTCCCTTCTTCCTCCCCACTCCTGTTCCTCTTGGTCTGTGTGAGCCTCTCCTATGTACAGCGGAGCAAAGGACATTAATTCTGAAGTCCTCCTTAAGATCAGGTCACACATACACACCCTGCCCCTAATTCTGCCTGCCTTAGCCTCCTCAGCAGCTGGCAGTGCAGATGGCGTGACCCTGCAGAGGGAGGACACATCCAGGCTTTTTGACAGGACATACTTTTTGTAAAGGAAGGTGTGACCGTATGATCAGCAGCCAGGACTCTGCTATGAAAGAGATGTTTTTAACAGACTCAGAAGTGGATGTGGGTGAGAAACCAGCAACTGGAGTTAGGGGATGATTTGCACAGAACGAGGATGTTCTGAACGTCGGGTTGAGAGGTTCCTGCAGCCTTTGAGGGCTGCAATAAAGGGAATTACAGCTGGTGTAAGTGTTTTGACATTTCAGTACCTAGCAGTTAAGTGCAGTGCGACATTGCCCTGTTAGCATAACGCTGACACGCTTCAACATGTTATTGTATGGTTTCCCTCTCTCCCCTGCTCCTTTTCTCTCCATGCAGATTCACCCTGCTCCAACATGCTGGGGATGCTTTCCGGCCTTATCTTAGACTCCCAGATCTCTGCCTCTTCAATCAGAGGGTACGACTGGTCCCCTAGCATGGCCCGCCTGGTCAGCAGCCGCTCTGGATGGTTCCCACGAATCCCCCAAGCCCAGCCAGGGGAAGAGTGGCTGCAGGTGGACCTGGGAGTCCCTAAGAATGTGAAAGGAGTGGTCATCCAAGGGGCCCGAGGAGGAGACAGCATCACCATGGTAGAGGCTCGATCCTTCGTGAAGAAGTTTAAAGTGGCCTACAGCATGAATGGAAAGGACTGGGAGTATATACAGGACACCAAAACCATGCAACCCAAGGTAGGGCCTGTCTATCGGAATAGGACCTTTGAGGACAATGATATTGGGTTAGATAGCTCCACATCCAGCCTGTGCCCCACTCACTGTCCCCGCTTGCCTGTCTTTCTTCACAGTGAGGTTGGTTAGTCCTCAGAGAGAGCACAGCATGTAGGGGCTGTGGTGGTGTGCGGATTGGGCCATCAGCCCCAGGCTTTCATGACTTTATCCCCATCTTGTTCCACGCCATACCTGCCCTGCCTGGGGGAGGTCTGATTCCCTTCATTTCCTGCACCAGCCACTGAGACTGGAGAGCTCTTACTGGAGCTCCCATCCAGTGCCTGGTAGAAGCAGGCAGAGTTGCTGGTACATCAGGAGGAACCTTCCCCTCCAGGAGGCATGACCATTACCCCAGCAATCCTCCCAGCTCCTACAAGTTGGAGGATGAAGGAACCCATCGGAAAGGGTGTGGTATCCCTGCAGAGAGGCTAAATACACCTTTTAAAGAAAGATGCCTTCTAAGTGTTACTTACTCCCTGAGACAAGAGGGTGATGTAGGACACATGATGTTCTCCACCTTTTCTGTTCCACAAACCTCTTTTTGCCTATGGGGACAATCCTGGAACCTCCCTTTCCCATCTATGTGGGACACCCACTGCCCCCATATGTAGCACATACAGGACAGGCAGGATGATTGTGACCCCCTCCCCCCCCCGCTCTAAGGAATTAAGTCATTGGATTCTAATGAACTTTGTGCACATGTGTGTGGATGTTTCTCCTCCTGAAGGCTTGAAAGAGTTGAACTTTTTGCAACATGGTAACAATCCCAATCCCACAAATGAGTTTTGAGGGACTAGCTACGACAATAGACTTAAATTTGTTCCCAGTACACAGGCAACCGAAAGGGGAGATGTCTGCAATGCTTGGCCAGTAACCACTGCTTAGACACTGGGGAAAAATGAGAATTCAAATGATCCCAGACAATAGCCTCTCTATAAAGCCAGGGACAAAATGTGATGTCATACGTGCTGGAAGCCAGTGGAGTAACGCCAGCCTTGCACCAGTGTGTAGCTTGGATGGGAATCTGGCATGGGCGATATAAAGTTTGGGCCGAGGCATGTTGTATGGTTTCGTTAGAAACAGACTCTGTGGTGCTCATGAGACCGAGTTGGGGACAGCATATGTTCACTCACAGAGCTGCAAATCAGAAATAAGACCAAGAGTAGTACAGCAAAACTGTCTGTTTCAGGTACTACAGGAGATTGCCAGATCTGCGCTATCTAGGCTGCACCTGAGCTGCCTTCCAATGCGAGTTTGCTTCAGCGTAGCCTCTTGTTTTCCTGCACTTCCTTCCCCATTTTCACACTTTTGTCCCTTATCTGTTGTACATGCATGGACTGTAGGATGGTGCCAAGTCTGGAAATCCTCCTCATGCTTCTGTATCTTACTGCTAAAGATACGTTGTTGTATCTACTGTACTTCAAGTTCTTTTGCTTTATGACAATAGACAGTGATTTTGGACTGTGGAACACAAGGTTCTAATGAACATGAACGAGTAATTGGTTTGTCAGAATGCTTCATGTTCCAGGTTTGTTGATGGATAATATACATGATGCATAGATTAGCCTCTCTCTCTTTGCAGCTTTTTGAAGGCAACATGCATTATGACATCCCTGAAGTCCGAAGGTTTGACCCTGTTCCTGCACAGTACATCCGGGTTCACCCAGAACGGTGGTCTCCAGCAGGGATTGGGATGCGTTTGGAGGTGTTGGGCTGTGATTGGACAGGTATGAACCTTGCTTTCATTTCTATACTTGGTCAGTAAGACATGGTGATATTTCTTGAAATGGTAAAGTAGGTGGGATATAGTTATTTCTCTCTCCCTACATTCCCACAGGAGGTGGTGTTCTAATTCTGCAACCTCAGCAGAGGTAAACCTGAGCTATGAAGCTACAGTTTAGAGCATGAGCCAAATCCAAACTTTTCCATACTAAAATGTGGTCAGATTTGGTGCTCTGCTTGAGACCAGATCTCGCTGCAAAGTTTGGACCCAGATCCAAGCTTTCCCAAAGTTCTGCAGGATTCCAATGTGGGGTTTAGGGGCAGGTCCATCTCTGATTCTCATTTACTATCTAAAGGGGGACCATTTCCCATTTTTAATGTTACTAATTATACTACACAGGTGTTTAGAGGCCCTAACCAAGATCAAGACTTTGTGCTAGTCATTGTACAAACATGTAGAAAGAAACAGTCTCTCTCCTGAAGAGACAAGAGAAAGGGTAGGAGGGGGAATTAGAGGCACAGCAAGGTGCAGAAGTGACTATACAAATCACAGAGCAGGTCATTGCCAGAGGCAGGAATAGAACCATGGTGACTTGATTCCCAGCCCAGCGTCCTGTCTGCTAGATCTCTGCTAAGGAATATTTTCTCTGCCGTGGAGTACCACAGAAATCCTGATGCTGATGTGTCTTGAGACAGTACTAGAACTTCTAGGACCAGGGAACCAAAAGTTTGTCCACCTTGTTTTCATAACTGGAACAGCTGCTCTTGCCTTGAATACAGAGGTATGACCCATGAAAACTGCAGAACAAATTCACTGAGGTCATGGGGAGTTGTGCCCATTTACACCAGAGCTAAATTTGGTCCTCTGAGTCGCAGTGTGAAATGGTCCATCTTGGTTTGTATCTGAATATACAAAAAACAAAACAAAACAAAAAACCCAAAACAAACAAACAAAAACGAATTCAGCTTGATGCTGTCCCTTTGGCCTAGAGGAATATTCCTGTGTTTTTTGGGTTTTTCTAAATAGTACAATGATCTATTTAAATCTGGATCTGGTCTCCAGATGTCAGTGATAAAGAGGTATGGTTTCTATGTAAAACAACATCTGTATAAGGCATTTTCTTGTAAGAATTCCTGCTCCAAGAAGCTTAAATTATGTATAGCCCACTGCTAGCCTTTCACTGGGTTTTTACTACTCCTTTCTTCTATTATGTATGCAAAATATGTTACAATCATTTACCAGCAAATTATAAAACAAAAAATAGTAAGGGTGAAATCTTACCTCCATAGAAATCAATGGCAAAAGTTCCCATTGAGTTCAGCGGGACCAGGATCTCACCCTACATTATTTAACTTTAAATAAAGACGGGATGTCTTTCTAAAAGATACGTTATAGGACAAACTGAAATTCCAGGCTTGATGCAGACACCTCATGCTGAAGTTTTATGGCCTGTGATATGCAGTGGTCAAACCACATGATCATAATGGTCTCTTCTGGCCTTAAGAGCTATGATATTTTGAAAACATTGATTCACAGCCTGGGGCAGGTTTTCAGCAGAGTGCCCTCCCTTTTGGCAGGTGTAAATTGCACCCTCAGTTGAATTTTGGAGGCAGATCTGAGTACTTTTGTCTTTGTCTGTTATGTAGTTAGACATCCACATACTCAGATGCGCTCTGGTGATGCATTTTGTGTGTGCAAATTTTTTAGGTGTAACCCCCAGGTCAGCATGTGTTGCATGTCCCCCTCTTTGCCTGATCCACAGTAGATGTGAGTCTGTTATAGCACCCAGCTAGAGCCTGGCTCTTTGAGGCAAGCTGTAGAGACTCTTGCTTTTAACTAGGGAGATCCCTGCTACAATCCCCAGTGTGTCTGCCAAGATAGCAGGCTCAGGCAGCCACAATTTACACCTAGAAAAGAGAGAACAGGCCTTAGACTAGCTGAAGATTTACTCATTCTGGGCCAGATTTTCTCCTCTGCTCCATCACTTGTATGCTGCTCTGACCATGCCAAGGGAACAGGAACTGGTGCTATCCCCCTTGAGACCTTCTCTGGCATGGAGGAGTCACCAACGGGTGTAGAGTCAGTAGAGCAAGCTCCTATGCCTCCTTCCCTCTGCAGCTTTCTGCTATCCCCAGATGACAGACAGTCCCTTGGGGACCATTGCCAGCTGGTGTAGCTTAGAGCAGCCCCCAGGCTACTCTTACTTGTGCTAAGCCAGGCAGAGAATTGACTCCATGATGTCTCTCCTGCCTCCCACCACAGCTTACTCTGTTGCAGCAAAGAATCCAGGCCATACTCTACAGTGCAGCTGTCTCAATCCTTTATGCTTTTTGTGTAAGTTCACCTGTATGGCTCTGTCCACAGCGAGCTTTGAACTTGTGCTAGCAACAACCATGTTAAAAAGGGATCGTCAAGCACAGTTTTTCCAAGTAGTGTCCTTGACCATCATTTCCCAACATGACTGTCTAGTCATTTGTAGTTTGCAACTTTTAAAAGGAAAACCTGCTGGCCATAAATGTGCTTAACTTAATTTATTTACAAGAATTCATCCCTGTAATGGTAGCATGGTTTGTAATTCTGGAAGTGTGGGGGCAAATCTTGTTACAACTGTGTTAACAAGCAATCTCAAATAAATTGGTTAGTCTCTAAGGTGCCACAAGTACTCCTTTTCTTTTTGCGAATACAGACTAACACGGCTGTTCCTCTGAAAGGCTGTTCCTCTGAAACCTGTGGTTTCATGTAAACTACAAAACCCAATGGGTTACAATGTAGCAATCCCTTGGTGTAAATAAAGGCTTATCTACACAAACAATTACAGTGTGAGAAGCTGGGGTGTGACTCCACCCTGTGCTACCCTGCCTCGGTCTGGCTATCCATGTGCATGCCGCTGATCCTTGGAGCTAGTCCTGTTTCAAAGAGGACTAGATCAAAGGGCTCTAACAGCTGTCAGCAGGGTGCACATAGTTAGTCTGCAACAAGGTAGCGTGGGGTAGATTCACCCCCCAGCGTGCTGCAATCTACTCATTTGTGTAGCCGAGGCTTAAGACATGGCTCTGTTCTGTAGGCGAGACCCAAACATATTACCAAACTGTGCTTAAGGCTGTCTGTGAAGCCCAAGGCTGTAGCACTTGCTTGGGAACAAGGTCAGGAGCGTGGTTAAAACACGACGATTTAAAATGTTTTCAAATAGGGTTACAAGTTGTAGCGTGGACCCTGCCCAACTGCCACTGTTTCTATCAATGGCCAGTGACTATCAATTCAAACAGGTAACTAATAGCAACTAGGCTCAAAAACGGGTTGTTGGCAGGTAGCTAGAAAAAAGTTGAAGTGACCGGTCAACAGCTGGCTCATATCAAAGACCTGCTAACATTTTTCCTCTGAAGATTGAAGATTGATGAACATTAGCTTGTGACTTCTCTTCTCTCCTTTGAAGTTCCACACATCTGGTTTCAATTGACCAACAACTCTGCAGCATGATCAGCAGGTACCTCTCGCCGCACGGACACTGCCGGGTGGAAGAGAGACCTTCTCCTTCTCACTTTCCAGTCACACCCCACTTTGGCCCTGCGATTTTCGTTATCTCGTCTCACCATCTTGTCATGCTTGCATAGTCATTGCTACGTGCTGTGCTGGGCAGTGGAACGATACGAATTTACACCAGCCGAGCATCTGGACTGCATATGGTACTTTGCCTTTCAAGGTCCTTTCCCGTTGTCACATTTCTACTATAAATCTCAAAGCCCAAGAACAGCAACAACAAAAACACATACCGAGTGGAAGTAACTTGCGGCTTTTGACGTGTTGCCTTCAGCTGATGTTTTTTAAGGGTTTTTTTTAATGACTGTTTTTGGGCCTTGCTGCTTGCAATTTGCTTCTCGGTAACATTTGGAGTTTTATGGGGTAGTAACAAATTTGGACTTTAATATTAGGAGGCTTTGAGGTTGTTCAGTATTTTACTGTGAATAAAAGGCAGCTGAAAGCAAAAAAGGAACCCAAGAGTTTATATGCAATATGTTCAATCATAGAAGCTGGGAAGCAGTGTATGGAAAATATTCAATGTATTTAGCCATTTCCTTCAGCTTCTGGCTTTATTAAGTAATATCCTGAAGGGTGCCGATAAAGAATCCTAATCACAGGTAATAGAGCAAAGAAACCTTTTTAAAACTGGGAAGAACAGTGGACTCTGCTGACTGCTCTGTTCCCCATGTAAATTGAGAGGAAGATGGAGCTTAATGTCATGTACTGTTGATCTTAATATCTTCTTGCTTAAATTTCCTTGCCACCTGCTTTTAGCTATGTTCCCAGAGTCTATATGGAAGAGAAGGAAATGGTACAGAGCCACTTTAAATTGTCAGGAAGGTGGAGCATGAAACCAGACACTTTCTGCTTTGAGCCAGAGCGTGCTAGGGATTCTCTGGGTCCGTTTGTGGTTACATCATTTGTGGTGTTGAGTGACTTGTTTTTATAAGACTGGCACAACTGGTGGGAATATGTTTTTATGTTTTTATGAAAGAAAATAATGTGCTGTCTGGGATCTCTGTTATCCAGCGTAACAACAAACCTGCTAGCTAGTATATGCATACATAAAAAACAGCCTGTCGATTTAAAGGAGATCCTTATCCTGCAGGGTCCACAGCTCAGAGAACTCCCTATTTCCACTTTTGGAGGAAAAGAAGGCTCACAAGTGATTCAAGCCATGCTGACATTCGTTGCATGCTGGAAATTATTACTGCTTTCTTGCCCTCTCGTTATAAGATTCAGAAAGAAAGAGTTCTGTGTGGTTTCCTCTGCTGGGCTCTCTGAGAATGAGGCTCATTATCACCTGTTCTCCTTCATTTTCTTTATGCAGCTGTAAAGCCCACTTCAGAGACACTGAAGCCCACCTTGAAGAGTGAGGAGACCACCTCTCCGAACCCTACTGATGAGGAGACGACAGAGTGTGGTGATGGCTGTGGAGAAGGTGATGGTACGTACCAGATGCAGGCACCCTTAGCACAGTAAATGATAGGTTAACAGTTAAGTGAACACTCTTGTCTTTCCATTGGCTCCTACTCAGTGGGACTGAGTCCTGGAAACCTGTAGAATGATAGTATTAGTAAGAATCAGGGTCAAAGTCTGATCTGTTATACCAGGAAAGGATAGTACAGTGAGGGAGAAAGGAAGGACAATACAGTGGTAAGAAAACTAGCCTGGGACTTGGGAGACCTGGGTTCAATTCCCTGCTCTACCACAGATTCCCTGTGGTCTCTCCATGTCTCAGTTTCTCATCTGTAACATGGAGATAGTAGCCCTGCCCTACCTCAAACACGTGTTGAGAGGATAAAAGCATTAAAGGTTGTGGGATGCTCATATACTACGTTAAAGGGACCACATAAGTACCATAAATATGTAGGGGACTGACTCCTCTGAATTCAGTGGGTTTACTCCATTGTAATTGGAAGCAGAGTTTGACCCTCAGAGTTGAGGGTTTGGATAAGTACCCAACAGCATGGACATTTATTCAGACCTCATGAACCGGTAAACTTTGACTAGAAATTGCATTAGAAGAGGCTTCCAGGTGAGATTTCTGTCAGTGTTTTGGCCCATCAGCTTTAAGGCCTGGATGGAAACATAAAAGGGGAACCTAATGAGATCTTGAAAACAAGTTAACTCTTTCACACCGTTCATAATGTTTCAGTTCTAGAAATGTGAGTCACAGACACAGCACAAAGGGCTTGATCCTTGGTGCACCCGTGTTACACCTGTTGAACTCCCCTGACGTCAGTGGAGTAACTTTGGAATTCAGAATGCCATTTTTCATTAAAGGCACAGAAATCAGGAGTGCCGTGCAGTGCAGCGTGAGACATACTTTCTACCTGGAGATACATTTTAATGTGTAGAGCCAGTATCCAGGATGTTCCCTTCATATTTAGCTGTGATTTTCATTCTTCGACTTCACAAGCAATGAGGCATATTTCTCTGGACCATCAGATTCAGGAGCTTTAACAGAAAGAGTCCGTCTTCCTGGGGAGCTAGATTAGGTTGTAATAAAAGGAGCCATGTCCACACTGCTTTATTCCGAGCTGGGACTCGGTAGGGAAGGGCTCTTTCCACTGTACAGTAGTGCTCACCTGATGGCTATTGCGTGGGTCACGGAGCTCTTGCTGACTGTCATTAACTTTGGGGGCGTGGTGATGTAAAACTTTCTCTTTGTTCAGGAAAGCTACAAACAAGCCTTTGTTATATTTGGCCCCTCCCCCAGTGCTTCCCAGTCAGGAGTGTATCCTCTGACATTCTCAGAGTGCTGCTTTAGAACCAGACCCTCAGAGTAGGTCCCTTCTCTAGCCTTCATGCAGTGACTTCCCTGCTCAGATGGCATTGCAGCCTCCTCTTGCTGAGACTAAGCCTCCTCCAGGACTTTCATTGCCCTGTAGCAGTGTCCATACGGATGTTACTGCACAGCAAGCTGGCATGCGGTAGACTCACACACTAGCTTGCCGCGCAGTAATTCACAGCGTAGACATGGCCTGAGCTTCAAGCCTCCTATGGCCAAGAGCTATCCCTGTCCAAAGTTCTGCTACCGAGGGCTCTGTTCACTTCATATAATGATGCTTTGAGCTGAGAATGAAATTTGTCCAGAGATTTCAAAGCACTGTGCAAAGGTAGGCAAGCATTGTCCTCATTTTATAGATGGGAAAACTGAGATACAGAGAGGTTAAGTGACTTGCTCAAGGTCACAGAGTGAGTCAGTGGTGGAGCTGGGAATAGAACCTAGCTCTCTTGACTCTCATCCCTTGGATTATTCCACTAGACCACTGCTGCCCCATAGCTGCATAAGTAACATTTTCATTAGTGGATGCTGACCCAGGGGTGACCATTCATAATTCCAGACATCCTGTTCTCTTCTGGCACAAATGCTTAGATCTGTCACTCGATAGCTGGGCTTTTGAGGCACTTGAGATTCTTCTTTTTTTGGAGCCAGGGTGGAACTACACTGCACCACAAGGGCACTTGGGAAACATTCGTCTCTGACATTTAAGAAGGAATTTAATATTTGGCCACTCCAGGGGATGAAGAGAAGGTGCTGATTAGAGCCTGGAAGCATTTGGTGCCTGCATTTATATTTGCTTAGTTTGGTGGATTAGCTGAAGGACTTGATGTGAGCATTTTGATGATGCAGAACTTAAGGCTGATCCTCAGAGCTGACGAAACATGAGATAGGTTGAAAGCATCCGTGAGAGAGAGATTTCATGCTTTCTTCAGTATTTATGACTTGCCAGCTATTTTAGTTTTTAAATAGCATCCCTCTATTGCAGGTTGTTCTCTAATCAAGTTTTATTTTGTTATGTTCCTTTTATAAGATGCCCAGCTTCCTGTAGGATTCAATTGCAACTTTGACCTCCCTGAAGACCTATGTGGTTGGTCTAATGACCCTGCAACAGATTATATGTGGTCTTTCCATTCTAGAAGCACCTGGTTCAGCAATTCAGGACCAAGCACTGGGTCCTTACCTGGTAAGCCAATTCATACATTATAAGGGGAAGGGGGGAACGGCTATGGCATTTTCTCCATGGAAAAGGTTATTGCAACGCTACTTAACAGTGGCAGAGATTCTGCAGAAGTGGATGTTTTCCTTTGTTAATTCTTTGGATATTCTGCTTTGTTGGCTCTTTTCTTATTTACAGGTCCGATAACCATGTCACTGAATTGCACTAACTCTCCACTAGAGATGGGCTTGAACCAAGCAGCCTGGTGCTGAATCTCGCCCCCCTGCCCGCCCAATATAGGGATGTTTGGACTTGCATCAAAATCCTGATCCAGATTTCCTCGCGTGGGCCCATCAATACTCCCCACAGTGTGCGTCCCCTCTTGCTATGTGCACACACATCGTAATAATTCCATGGCTGGACAGAGCTTGACTTCAGCTATTCTGCACCCTGTGGTTGCATGGGATAGACTTAAATCATTTGTTGGGATAGAACTCACCAGGACCTAAGGATACAAAAAATTCTGCTTAATTTTTACTCTTTATCTGTTCCGGCATAGGCCTGTGTTGTGGGAACAGAGGATTTGGTGTTCTAACTAGGGCTGAGTGAGCCTTGCAGGGCTTAGCTGAAGAAGGGTTTTGCTAAGATTTGTTTGCAGAGATAGGAAGTGAGACAACCCCTGCAAGTTTTCTTGGAGGCAGAAGTTCCTTATCCCTGTACCTTGGAACCAGCCCTGGGCCCTGTGCCATCTTCTTACCTGAGATGACGTTGGAGGAGTGTTGTTGGGGGTACAAAGCAGGTTCACCAGCTTCCAAATAACTTCAACCTATGTTCACTTAATTTTGATGAGCATGGACTGAGTTTTGTGCAGGAAAATCAAGGGTCCCATTGAGTCAACTTGAGGTACAGATGAATATTTCACCCAGCATTATCTCCGTTCCAGATGCCACATGGAGGCACAAGGACTTTAATGCCTGTATTTAAAGAGCATGAGGATTTGATGGATCAGGTTGACCTCTCCCATTGGCTCTTACCAATAGATCTGAGTGTTGAAACCAAAGCATTCAACCTGTCAGCCACATAACAGAGGCACTGGCCAGACTGACAGTTCTAACAGCCAATTGGAAGGCAGCATAGGGAGCACCTGGCAGGCAAAGCCAAAGAGGAATGCATATATATATGAAATACATTGAATGATGAGAGTCCTCTACATCTCTACACACACCTCCCTCTTAAACACACATATGCGTACACACACACTCTTACTTATACACACACACACTTTTTCCCATTGACCGATGAGGCATCCAGATCTCTTGCAACCCCCGTCAGTGCTGTATTAAGCATAGGCTCTCTGGACATCTGACAGATTCTTTGGCTTGACACAGGTCACAGTGTGAAAAACGGAGAAACATATTTTCATATTTTGAGTGTTTATCTCTTCAGCTTTTGAGTGCTTGAGAAGATTAATATCTGAAGATCACTGGGGCCTCAGGCAACAGGAGAGAACACTTACTGCCAGTCCCAAGCTTAATAACCCTCCCCATCTCATTCGCTGTAATAATGTTTAATTAATGTAATAAGCCTCCTGCAAGTAGGAAAAAAAATTACTTATTTTTATAACTCAGACTCAATTTTTCATTTCATTTCCTCTCCCACGAGTCTTCCTACAATTAATTGACCTTTTTTTCTTAAAAGACTCGTGTGTGTTTGTTTAGGGACAATCTGGGATGAGTGATGCTCCTGCAGAGGATACGGCCTTCCCTGTGTGTCTGCAACATTAGTGGAGTTTTCTTCCTCTGTCCTTCAGTTTCTTACCCTGCCTCTCTTTCTCTCTGCTACTTCTGAATTGCAGGTCCCTTTAGCCCTTAGCGCCTGTTCCCCAGCCCATTGGAGCCGGTGGGAGTCTTTCCCTTGATTTAGTGAGCTTTGCAGCTGGCCACCACAGAGCGATTTCTCTAAGTAGTTGTTGTTTGCATTACAATGGCAGCTAGAGTGTAGCTGTAGCCCTGTTGGTCCCAGGATATTAGAGAGACAAGGTGGATGATGTCTCTTTAGTAGTGCCTAGAGTCCCCCATGGAGTTTGGAGCCCCATTGTACTAGATCCTGTACAGACACATAGGATGAGAGTCCGTGTCCTGAAGAGCTTACAGTCTGAACAGACAGGACAGACAGAGAGGAAACAGAGGCATCGAGGGAGGAAGTGATTTGCCCAAGATCACACAGAAGATCAGTGGCAGAACTGTGAATAGAGCCTAGGTCTCTTTTTGAGCCTGGAATGCTTCATGACAACAAAGGCTACTGAAAGGCGAGCTGGCTCCCTAAAGTGGTGCTGGCCCCTTCTCCTCCCTCTGCCCACACTCTCACCTGAAGCGCTGAGACCGTGAGAAGAGCTAGTGGCTTTAGAATCACAGCTGGCCCTGCCACGTTGATCAGTTACACCCTGTTGTTTTGAGAAGAATGTCAGACACGATCATATATGAGCCACCTGGCTGTGAGCATGTCTGGCTTTTCACTGCATTGAAGAAATATAAAGGGATTTATACAAAAAAGGACCATTGAGTCTAACTTTGTTCCCGCTTTAAAAAATTAGGAAGGAAAACACAACACAAAGGGAAACAACTATTTGCTTTTTCCAGCTTTAAAAAGAGACCTGTAATGTTAAAAAGAGCCTCTTGTAGCCTGCTGACTGGGAGCAGAATACCTATATTGTTAGTTCACACTCCTTCATTCCTCTGATGGTTTTCTAGTCACCCCCTCCGGCATTTTGCTTCTACTTATAAAACTCATCATCAGACACCAGGCAAGAAAGGATAAAAAGTCCTTTCTGTTCAGGGTGGTCTTTCCTTCTGAACCCCTGCTCCTACAAAGCAGTTGGGTGAAGGAGAGCAGCTGTGCTTAGTTTAGGAGCAGGGCACATGCTAATGGGGGGTTCAAAGTTGTTGGAGATCCTTAAATTTTTAACGTGCTAACCTAGAACTCTTGAGAGAAGGAAATGCACTGTGCCTTTAAGAGGTATGTGGAATGTGTTTCTATTTCTTCATCAGATGGCAAAACAAAAAAATTAAATTAAAAGGAGGGGCCTTGGCTGAGTGAGCATGGGAAGGAGGAAGTGGCTGTGCCGAAATATCATCTGAAAGGCATTTGATTAGAAAAGTCTGTCAAAAGACGAGCTCAGATTCCTTAGATATCTTCCCATTGCATTTTGTGTGTGTGCTCACAATTATTTCTCTTCTTTGGCATGGGTAATGGCTCCTTGAGACTGCCAAGACACCCTCTGCTTTCATTCCACTAGTTTTATTTCCAAGATACTCTCGCAGGCACCTTGGCGTTTCTTTTATCAGCACCATGTTCCTAGTGCTTTTAGCGACATGGATGGTCTCCGTGTCATCCCTTAAAACCTCCCGTGACAAATTCAGCTACCCCTATTGGCGAAAGTGGAGCCAAGCTGCTCAACTCAGCAGAAGCCCGTTCTTACTCCAGCTGCTATTTGCCTTTTTGTGGGGCAAAGGAACCCAGTTTCTTCCACTGTCGTGCCCTGAAAAGGGATTGCAGTTTTTTCTCTATGGATTTTCACATGCTTCCCAGATTTCCCCTGTTAGCTGCCTTGATGGAATTTACCACAATTTGCAACATGATCAGGTTTCAATGAGGTTCTGATCCTGCTCCCCCGGAAGTCAATGGAAAAACTCCCATTGTTGTCAGTGGGGTAGGATCCAGGCCTTGAGGGACCTGAAGATAAACCCACTTATTCCAGTTGTTAAGCTGGGTGTCTTGAGACGGGTAGGTGCTGACGAGCCCTGCCAAAGTCATCATCTTCATTGACTGCCAGGAGTCTAAAAGATACCGGCATCATATTTCCAGCTCGTATAAATCGGTCTTGTTCCATTGCCATCAGCGGAATACACCAGCTGAGAATCTGGACCACGGATGTTTGGACATTTTTACGGTTGTTAAGGAAATGATTAGAAGATGTTACAAGAACACTGTCAGTTTAGAAATCCTAGGGCTCCATCGTCCCTCCCTTATATGTGCGCTCCTATCTATCCAAGTGAGCAAAGGCTGTTCAGACCTATGTATGGGAAATAAGCACCTGTATGAATCAACCATTGCTAACCACACCTGTGACTCTACAAAACTAATGGGTAGGATTTTTATTATGTATCTTTTCCCCATTGTTGTACTTTCTCTGAGATTGAGCCATGAAAATCAATGGAGAGAATTTCACTGTGGTTTTTGGTCTGTAGCCTGCTTCACTTTGGGGGGGCAGAAGTGCTGCCATATTTTGGTTGCAGACCCAGCAGGGGAAGGTTTATTTGTTTAAAAATGTTTCCAATGGGGAAACGTTTGCATTGCTCTGAGGTTTTGCAAGAGCTCATTTTGTAAAAAAAAACCCCACAAATACTGGGCTATAGTTAAGCTGACAGTGATCCTTTTACCCTCCTTGTGTTATTCCCCTGGGGTTTTTAAGGGCTAAATTTTTATTGCAGTCCATGAGAATGTAGGCACTCTGACCTCAGTCCTGCTCCACTGAATCAATGAAAGCTTTGCTGTTAATTTCCATGGAGTAGGATTGGGCCAATCCTGCAAATAGGGCCAGACTGTAATACCCTTATTTGTGCTGAATAGAGCCTGATACCTTGACGCGTCCCAATGAGGTTTGGGGGAGTATTTGCAGTGTTATGTCCTGCTCAGTGTTCGTAAGGGTGACACAGTTTGACCCTTTGAGGCCAAGCCCAATCACTTTGAAGTCAGTGGGAATTTTGCCATTGATTGAGTTGGAGCCAAGTTAGTCGTCCAGTCCTAACTTGCGTGAATAGACCCTGATCCTTGCGAGCTTTGCCAACACCCCAACTAAGGGGGAGGCGAGTAGCTGCACCGCCCCAAGAACAGACCCTGAACCACATAGTGAATTACAGTGTGATTGCTGATTCTTCCCTTGCTCCCAGCGCTATGCCTGGTGCTGATCCCTTCACCTGGTGCACCAGCTAAGCTGCTCAAGCCACTCCCCATGCCCATGCACAAGA